CTTGATCCCAGGACCCTGGGATCATGACCTGAGCCGAAGGCAGGCGCTTAACCAACTGAGCCACCCAGGCGCCCTCATTTTCTTATTCTTTTTTAGAAATGTGTTCTTACAAAAGTAACGGCTGGGTCTGGGATTTGATTTTGTTCTATTTATGAGCAAATAAATGTTACTGTGTCACAGACATTGGCAGGAGGCTTCGGTGAGGCAGACCACAGACTTCATTACCCGTGGTGCCCCAAACAGCACGAGCTTCATCTTCTCCCTGACCTGCAAGCCCCTGGGGGACGGTGGGGGTCGGAAGACCCCCGAAGGACGCGTGCACATGGAGTGAGTGGGTTGTCTTACAGGAGAGGAGCCTGAAGCTCTCACAGCGAGCAGTAAGCAAGGCTGCTTTTCTTCCGGGAAGAAGACGTTAGGTCATCCATCAAGGATGCTTGCTGGAAACAGCCCTGAGAAATGGCCCGGGTCTAAAGCAGTCCAGGCTCTTCCTTCTTGGCACAGCGGGCCAAGCCAGGCAGAGTGCAAGAGACCCGTGGGAAAGTGCCCCCCTTGCCAAAGGAACTCAAATTCTACTTTCTTGGAGAAAAGAATTTTAAACCAAACAGGTTGAAAAAATTAAGACACACAAGTAGGGGCCTATTTCTTTATTTGGGGATATCTTACGTTGCTCCGGGCTTGATGCGTGTTTCTTCTGCTAAGTGTGTGTGTCACAGGGCACCTGGTCGGTCCCGCTGCTCCGTCTGCTCCCGGGGGGAGGGCTGGGGCCCTTTGCCCGCTGCAGGGGAGGCCTGTGTGGACCGTCTCGGCAAGGAGACTGACCCCATTCTTCCACCGTGCCTCTACCTCTCCTCTCCAAATACTGATTTTTACAGGGTCGAGATTTGTCAATATTATAAATTATTCTGTAATTAGAGCTCTTCTGTGATAAAGGTTGGTACAAATAAAATAAGAAATCAACATATCCTCTAAGAACCACATGATGTGTTTGAACCCATAGGGAATGAAATATACAGTAGGTCATTAAAATGTTGCCACTTGAAGGAGAATTTTCCAAGTATCAACATGCAACGGGTAATTTTTCACTTTCAAATTCCTGTTACTTTTCCCGGCTCGCAGTCAGCTACCATTTTTCTGAGTACCTCCTGCCATTTTTTTCCCTTAGGTTCCTTCTTCATTTTCCTGGCCCCTTCCTCAGTTCAATTAAATCCGAACACATGGGAGGTATCATCAACTTGACGAGGCCACAGGGTGTGCAGATACTTGGTGTGGGGCCCAGAACAAGAGAAGGCTTCCCAGCAGGTCCAGGCTGCCATGCAGGCTGCTTTGCTCTCACGCTGGGGCCGTCGGATCCAGTGCAGCCAAAGGCACCTGGAATGTCCGAGCAGACAGGGATGCCGTCTGGAGCCTTCGGCAGGGCTGAGTGATAAAGCGAGCCCTTAGGATTTGGGAGCCAAGCCTTGCTATTCCCACCCAGATAACGACTCCCCTTGTGAGAAACAGCTCTTGTTTGCTACTGGGTCTCAGGAGAGACTAAATGCTTACCCATGGGCCCCCAAGTTACGGCGAGACCTGAGCTGCCCCTCGTGAACTGGGTGCCATCTGACCCATCGGGCCATGAAGTCGGGGACGCACGGCAGCACTCCATCATCAAACGGAAGTGGTACATACGTGATCAGGCCCGAGCAGGCCCCATAGGGACAAGTGGCCCAAACGCCCACGGTCCCCACTCCTGCTACACCGTCTTCTCTCTCCCAGCCTGACCTATGGCTGCTTGGGGAGCTGTCGAAGATCAGCTGACGGAGGAAGAGAAGACTCAGGCCTGGGTTACAGGTGGTTCTGCACGGGATGTAGACGCCACCTGAAAGCAGACGGCTGCAGCACCACAGCCCCCCCCGGGACATGCCTGAAGGACACGGTCGAGGGACATCCTCCCCGTGGGCAGAACGTCGAGCAGTGCGCCCGGCTGCTCATGTTGCTCGGAAGGAGAAATGGCCTCCTGGGCGGATATCTATCCATTCTTGGGCTGTGGCCATGCTTTGGCGGATGGATGGTCAGATACCTGAAAGGAACAGGACTGGACAACTGGTGAGAAAGAAATTTGGGGGAGAGGAATGTGGACAGACCTGTCCTCTAAAAAGTGAAGATCTCGGTGTCCCAAAAATGCCCACCAAAGGTGACCTCCGCGGAAGAGGATTTTAATAATCAAGTGGATAGGATGGCCCGTTCTGTGGACACCAGTCAGCCTCTTTCCCCAGCCGCCCCTGTCATGTCCCAGTGGGCTCACGAACAAAGTGCCACGGCAGCAGGGATGGAGGTTATGCGTGGGCTCAGCAGCGGGCACTTCGCTCACCAAGGCTAACCCGGCCCCGGCCACTGCTGAGGGCCCAATAAAAGGATTTTAACTGTCATGTTTTCTCATTTTGTTTAAATACCTGTGTGCGTGTGTGTAAAAGCAAATAACTGACTTCTTTCCCCTCTTATTCTCTTATCTTGTAACACGAGATTTTTACACCACAGAATTAAGTTACAGGATATGGAGAAGAGCAAACATCACATGAGGTGTGCATGCACACACCCGGTTGTTTCTCTGTGGATCCCTAATATACTTGCCATCAGCACCGGTATCTGCTTCTTACAGCTCTCTGGTGATTATGACATGCTTCCAGGATCAGTGACTCTGACTTAAGGAATTAAATTATTAATTCATTATCAGGAGAATTAGGTTTGGGGGAAAAATCCATCACTTGGACTATTTTCAGGAGCTGGAGGCAAGAAGCAATTATCCAAAAAAAAAAGAAAGAAAGAAAGAAAAGGAAGAAAGGAAGAAAGAAAATAAATCACACAAACACTAAAAAGTGTTTTGAAAAAGTGCTTTCAGAATTTACTGTACAGGTTTTTTAACAATTTATATGTTGGCTTCTACATGCTCTTACAACATTTGTTTAAACATTTATACATATTCTTTACAATTTGTACATATATTAAATGGCTGTATCATAAACATTGCTCTATGAGATTTTATAAAAGAAAAATCAGGTAGGGAAAATTACTTATAAAACATTAACAAAACCCGTGATATTAAAGAACAAGAAATTCTCATATTCATGTTCATTTGATTTCCTCTTCTACTTATTTTTTGGTTTCATTTTATTTGTGCTGGCCCAAACTTTCCATTTTCTATACTATAATCACTAGGTCAGGAAAATGAAAGCAGTGGGGATAATGTCGTAAGGCAACTGTGGAGGACGGACACGCTCATCTGCAGGAGGAAGATTGTGTCTGTGAGTGTTCAGATTTAAAGCTGACAGTCTGCGAAGATTAGGTTTTGCTTTATGCCGTTAACTGGAGTCCTAGTGATCACAAAAATCCCATCTGAGGTTTCGGATGTGGTCAGGAAGAACATCACTCTGAACTTCTTACACACAGAAGCTCCTGGGATTACTGGGCATTATCCAGGTTGTCACCCTTATCAGTCCCTAAACTCTTCCATCTAGGGGGATGGAGAGGTCTACTGAGCTGTGCTTTTCATCTTTTCAGATAACACCCCTGGCCCGCTTGTCTGCCATCCAAATCAAGCGGCAAATGACGGCCCTCACAAACATGTCTCACTACCTCTGACTGAACAGCTGAAGACTCCAATTCAGGGTGAAGCTCTGGAGGAGCACTCCTTCCTGAGCACAGGACTCAGCGCAGTGGCACCATCCCTGGGAGCAGAGTCGGAACATTGTACAAATACCCCCAATGTTTTCAACATACTCTGTCTGGCAAGGACCATGCCTTAACCAGGCTTGGGAAGGAAGCCCTCCTTGTGGAAGGGGACACTCAGCAACGTTCCTGAGGGAAGTGGGGGCAGTGAATGGGATCCTCAGTTTTTGCCAAGCCGCGTGCTCTCATGGCACACATCACGTGAGCACCCCTCCGCCCCGAGCCACCGTGACGGCGCCAGAATTCCCAGGAGCCCCTCTTTGCTTCCTCCCTCCTGGAAACAGAAGCACTGGAGTCGTAAATATGTCACTGAAAGGCATGTAGATTTTCCTAAATAGATAGGAATCCCACCGGACTGGAAAGAGTTATAAAAATATACAAACATATATATTTTTTATTCTGGTATATTTCATATTTTTAAGAAAGCGATTAGTAATTATCCGACATTGGGTAAGACCCAGAAGATCATGGACGACGTAAAAATTACAATTTTATGTAAAATATCAGTGGGGGGAACCCCTAATTTTCCATTCAAAATTCTGATAACTTTAAGTACTTTCCAAAAATAGAGACAATTTCCATTGTTTTAAATAATGGAGGTGGAAACGAACCAAAGACGACTATCCCTACGTAACTGATCCATTTAGGTTGGTTAATAAAACAGACGCAGTTTTTTGCAACTCTATTTCTTTTTGGTTTTCGTTCTTTCGTTCCTTTTTGTTTTTGATGAAGGGGGAAAAAAAATAAGACTGCATTGCCCAAAGTCAGGAGGAAGCACTTCGGAGTTCTCTTCGTGTTCCGGTGTGTTCTACATAACCGGGAAGCGGCCAAGGGCCTGCCTCAGCTTTTCTGCAATCTGGTGAAGAGACAAGACAATCTTGAGCTACCAGTCCCACTAGGACCCGCGGCATCCTACTCCTGCCACCTCTTACGAGTCAGACACTGCAAGCATTTCAGACTCGAACCGCGCTAAGCTTCTAGTCTCCTCCGGCACCAACCAGCCGGGGGGCCCTCCCCAGCCCCAGATGGTGCGGCCAGAGGCAGTGCCCCCAGCTTGCAGGAAGCCCCCTTTCTTTCTGGCACGGCCGGTGCCTGTCTCAGCAGCAGCGTTTCCAGAGCAAGAGTCAGGTGGGGTGGGGGTCGTGCTTGCCGAGGCTCCCCTGTGTTCTCAGACACCCGCGCACTCCCGAGCCCCCGCGGCTGAGCACACCGCCCGGATCCCACCCGCTGCGGGTCCGCCGTGTGTAGACCGTCCGCGCCTCCACGATAAAGCCAGTGCGGGACCGCAGCTGGGGCTATGTGCCCAGGCCTGCCCTGAGGACACAGATGTCACAGCCATTCTTGGAGCCAAGTAACTGGAGTAAGTCCTTAGGATATAATAGGTACTCAATTCATGTTTGCTGCATGAACAAGTACGGGAATTTTAGTATTTAAGGGTTACTTTCTCATAGAACTGTTACTTCTAACAAGGACAGTGATTAAAACGCACGGCTTTCTATTTTGAGTCACAATGTCATTGATAATTAAACCTCACTTAGGCTTGAGATTATCTATCAAATCAACATGATCGGAGTTTCAGAAGTTGCCCTTCAACGCTCTTCTCACGTCGAATAAATGCAATCTCGATTCTAATGCATGAGACGCAACCGCACAGCGCCAGCGGTTACTACACAGAGAGCCCAGGCACCGCACGCTGTGAGCGATGAAAATGCTTCAGGGAATTCCTTCTGGAAACTCAGGCCAAAACCAACTGCTTCCAACGCACAATTCACACTATGCAGCAAGCACACTGATCACAACTCCCTTTCAAGAATTTGCTGTTGGAGACTGACATTTTCCGCACTGTTTTGCTGAAAGAGGACACGTGCACACATAGGAGTGTGGGGCTGGCCTACCATCATTCTGAACACACACGCGAGAATACCATGGCAACAGTGGAACCCTGAGTAAAAGCATGGCGGCCAGCACATGGTCAATGATACAGTTACGGAACCTGCCTTCAGATGTCGAAGTTTCCACTTACACGCTAGATCCCTGTTTTCTGGACACTCTGGTAAACAACCAAATTACTACGCAGACTACAAAAGTTTACGTTTTTGTGACTGTTTCCTAAATGTCACAAACCTAAATATTTAAGGTTTCTCTCTCTCTCTCTCTCGTTTTCTTTCTGCAGTTCCTTTGGTGCACAATGAAAGCTCATTCATGAAGCCTGCCCGCGGTGCCAGGCTCCATCCCCAGCTGAGAGCTTGCAGGGCCAGGGGCCTCCTGTCCTTCACTGTCCCGGGCACAGAGAGGCTGTGGGGGTGGGGAACCTCCCAGTAAGGACTTCTAGGGGCCTCACAACCAGCGTCAGGACCCCTTCTTGCATAAGAGAAACCTTTTTTTAACCCAGTATGATTCAAAAAGGAAAAGGCAGATATAATTAAAAGGGATTTAAAAAACCCCTGCTCAATAATTAACCTCTTTTGGTTTATTACATAGGATTAAAAAACACAAGCAGACTAACTTTACACGGTCAAAGTTATGTTACCAGGAATCCTCCTGTGTGTGTGTGAGTGTGTGCGCACGCACGCATGTGCTTGCATGCAAAGGGCCTGGGGAGGCTGACTTACTGTTTCGTAGAATTGCACCTGTTGCTCCAGGTACAGGCGGATGACGCTGTTGTAGTCATAGATCCGGTTACTATGGAAGTGATTCATCTCGGCTACAACCAAAACCAAAATATCAATCAGCCCCCAAACTTCCACAGACAGCGCCAGCTTGCTCTGCTCGGTTTCATCTGGTTGGCTTCAGGGCAGGGCCAGTTCCTGACAAATCACTTTATAAAGAAGCTAGAAAACTCATCTGAAAATAATCTGAGCACAAACAATACTCTCCAGCAGAGGGATGACTTTTGTTGACTTGCAGAGGAGATACTGTGAACCCAACACAATCACCCACGTGTGGACTTTGTTCTCCCAGAACAGATGGAGCAGGAGGCCGACGTGGTGGTCACTCTCTGCGGACGTCATCTGTGATGCAGGACCCAGCGAGGCACCCGGTGGGCCCTGGCCTGTTCCCTCTTGGGTTGGGTTTCTTCGGGTGCCCTTGAAAGGCTGTACGGGTGAGTGCGACGCAGGGGGACCCTCTTCTGTATGGAGCTTCGCTGCTGAGCATCAAGGGCTCCCAGAACCCAACCTCTTACCAGGTGAGAGGATCTGGACACCTGTTCTTCAACTCTGCTGAATATATCTATTCACAGAGGACTCCCTTACTGAATTTGTCTCTCGGGATTCGCCCCTAACCCCCCTATCACCAACTCAAGAGAGGCCCCATCACATCGCCACCTGCCTCTTCCCTTGTTCTGAGCACCTGGAAAGCCAGCTGCTGGCATATATTCCTATGAAAAGGGCACTGTTCTGAGTTTTCTATTATCTCAAGTTGTATGAAGCTTCTCATTTATCTGTTTGGAAAACTTCAAAGCCAAATCCCCCATGTCAAACCCTTCAGAAAGATCTTCACTCAGGTTTTCCCATTTCTGCCCCTACTTGTCTTAGTTCTGGAAACCTTGGTCCCTTTGTCCCACTCATTCCCTAGTCCTGAGGGCTGTTCCTTGGAAAAGTCTGCAAACATGCTTCCTTCTCTTCCCCGAGCACCACGTCTTCTTCAGGCCCAGAACTCTCAGACCACAGAGGCAGTGGTCTTCTGCGTGGGCCTTCTGACGTCTGCCCCCCAACCTCTCCCACCCTCTCCCTGAGTGGTGTACCCCCTGACCCCTACCATCAAACCTTTTACTGGCTTCTTAATGCCCACAGCAAGTCTAGGCTCTTCTGCCCGGCTCTCAAGGACCCCCACCATCACCAACACTCATTCCCCAACAGCCTGGAAGTCGATCTTATTCCTGAAGGCCAATGAGAAATCCTGTCCCATTATTTTGTGTGGTTTTGTTCAAACTAGAACATCGTTCCCCTTTCTCCTTTGCCCATGCCTGTTCCGTCTGTCCACCGAAACAGGAAAAATCCGTTCACTGCTCCTGTGTGGTGGAAAGCACTCAAATATATAAAAACCATTTACTATCTTCTTTTTACTAACACTCAAATTCTGCCCAAAAATATGTCCAAGCTCCCTTTACATTCTACAGTCCCGGGGATAGAGGTTACAAACTGCTGGAAGCTGAACTTTGGGACCTAACACAGCATCATGATCGGAGCTAATATTAAGGGTTATAAAAGGATCTTCACTGCCTCTGAGAAATAATAAAGACGCACGGGTTTAATCAGGCTGTCATTCATGGCTCGATCAGGGAAAGGGGTTCATTTCCATTAACACTGGGATCCTGCAAACGACAGGCTTGGGAGGGGACCTGAAATCAGCTCTTATTTGCTTAGTTTCTCTCCAGCCAGGAAAACAGTACCTCCGCTGGGGAGAGGGACCATCTTCACTAGCAGCGCACGAACCTTGCTCGGTCTTACCTTGCAATGCGTAAGACATGGTGCCAACTCGCTTCACCATGTTCTGTTTGTCCTGGGGGGTGATTTTACTAGTTGCGACCAGTTTATCACTTTCTTTCACTTTCTCTATTGCTCCCTGTGAAATACACATGCAACAGTGTTAATAAAACAACGCTCAGAGGATTAGTCATTCGTTTATCATATAACAATGCCCACATCTTCTACAACTGACCAGCTACTGAACAAAAAAATGTTCCCACAAAGAAAGTAGGAAAGCGCCGAAATATAACTTCCTGCAAGTCACTTGGAAGCAAAAGGGTTGCTATTCTTGAAAAACAGAACTAAGCTAAAATGGACAGTTTTATGCTACAACAGGATGAAAAGCAAACAGCACTCTATTTCCGTAATGTCTGAGCCCGTGCCGGGACGAGAGGAGCGCAGGGGATGGACACAGGCATCGGGGGTTTAGAAGGTTGATGAGGGACAGCCTCGTGCCTGCGCCCGGCTCTCTGTCTCTGTTCGGGGGCATGCTGGCCGCGGGTGCTGGAGCGCGCTGACCGGCAGCTTTACTTTGGTTTCTGGGAGGAGCACAGCATCAATTTCAAATCGATACTCAGGCAGAAGCAGGGATACAGCTGCCAAATGGTTCCCCCTCCAGTATCATCACAGTGCTCATCAGAGCAGTCTGCAAAGAAAAACTTTACACTCGTGCATACATCAGGCTCCATGCCCCAAACTCTGCAGCTGACATAGATCCCTACGACAAGCTAACTCTTCTGAGTTGGCTTTTTTAACTGAGATTTTAATTTTTGTTATATTTATGTTATTTCCCCTCAGTTCTGTGGAGATGTAATTGACATACAGCACTGCATGAGTTTAAGGTGTACAACATAATCATCTGATGTCTGTATATACTGCAGAACGACGACCACTGTAACTGTTGCTGACAGCCATCACCTCACGCAGTTACAAGTTGGTTTGTTTTCTTCCTTTGTGATGAGAATTTTTAAGACCTACTCCCCCAGCAATCACTATCTCAGAGAGACCACTGCACTCTCAGGATCACCGCAGCATTACCCACAACAGCCACGATGTGGAAACACCTAAGTGTCCATCGATGTTCTGATCCTGACATTAAAGTATCTGAAGTTGCACAAGGTTTCCCTTCCTGACACCTGGATTATTAAGCTGAATGCTAAAACGGCCACATGCCAGGGCTGTGAGGGTCGCGGACTCAGCCTCTGTAGAGATTCTCCTAGTAAATCCAGGTGCATCACAGTATCCCAGAATACGACAGTTGATAAAATGCCCCTATTCTGAAATAATATGTAGAGTTTGAAACAGAGAAAAAGGAACCAGAATTGAAATGTGAGGACACCCCAAAACATTTCAAAATTCAGTTTAAAAGTACCGTTATGGTGGGAATTATATAGTTTCCTTATTAGTACAAAAATATAAAATCGATGTTGACCATTTAAATTTTCATTAGGAAACCCTTCGTCAGGCCCAGGGGGACAGAATATCTTACTTCATCTCGACGGGGAAGGGTCTTTGAGGACTTGCCCAAGCAGCTGACAGGGGTCCCACGAGTAAGGGCAAGCAGGATTCCTAATCTTGTCTTGAATTTCAAATAGCATGATTATGTTGTTTGATACCTGACCCAAGTATAGGCATAAAGGAATATTTTTTTCACATTTTTGTTTCCTCAAAGTAATCTTTTTATAGACTCGAAGAAACTAGAAACTACCCATAGTCTAAACGTCTTATGGGACCTCACTATTTAAACAGCCCAAGCAGCTCCGGCCAGTTTCAGAAAGCTCCCCGACTCAGGGCCGTACTGAGCGACTGGGCCCGCTCAGTGGCCATGCGTCACGGCCCTGGCTCACCCATGTCATCTTGTCTGCACTTCTGGGATCAAGTTACCTTGTGGGCGCCGATAATATCAGGGAAGCAGCCAAGGAAACCTTTATATTCATGATTACATTCCATGAGGAAATGGAGATCTTTCTTTGGCTACAACGAGACACAGGTTGGTTATTACTGGCAGAGAAATCCAGAAAAGGGTCGTACTGGAGGACTGTATGAGCCAAGCCTCAGGTACGAGTTACTGTATATCAAGGGCTAAACATTCAGCCTAGTTTTCCTGAAAGAAAACAACCCCCAAGACTATTACATTCTCAATCGTAGATTGGAGAGAAAATGATAAAACATTAGATCATTTTTAGGCTGGTTGGTAAAATTAGTTATTTTGAGGTGGCTCAAAATATGATACTGTAGGGGAAAAAACTAGTTAATACTATTTATATACAGGCAAATAAGATGTAATCATTTAATGTCTAAGTTTTAGCAGAGAATATAAATTATTATTAAAAATCTGGTAGTCCTCACCCAACGTAAAAAAAAACACAAACAAACCTGGTAGTCCTCTTAACTGGCAACTTAATATTTTTCAATTTTTCTGAATTACAATTTTTTTTTAAAGATTTTATTTATTTATTTGACAGAGAGAGACACAGCGAGAGAAGGAACGCAAGCAGGGGGAGTTGGGAGAGGGAGAAGCAGGCCTCCCGCAGAGCAGGGAGCCCGATGTGGGGCTCGACCCCAGGACCCTGGGATCACGACCTGAGCTGAAGGCAGCCGCTTAACAACTGAGCCACCCAGGCACCCCTGAATTATAATTTTTAATAGCTATGTTATGCACAGTTCTAAAAATTAATCTTTTTCTATAAGTAGTGGTAGTCAGTGACCAACATGAAGGTGTGTGCGCATGTGTGCACGTATTTCAAGAAGTCATCTGAGAAACTTTTCTTTAATGTAGGGATTTGAAACAACATTGATGCCTACTCCCCTTAAGGGAATTTATTATCTGTTTTCTGTAAAAAGAACTGGAATCGGACCACTGAAGGCCCCAATAAAAGCCACGTGGCTGGAACAGAGACCTGCCCCTTGCCTGGGCCCGCGTGGGTGCCTTCTCCATAGTGGCTGCTGAATCCTGAGAGCCTGCCATTTACCAGCCGAGTCAAGCAGGCCTCAGGCAGGGCAAGAGTCCAAACGGTGGCGTGAACGGTGCTCTTGCCCTAACATTCCAACCCCCTGATGACGGAGGATGGATCTGAGCCACCGACACTGGAAGGTACTCATTTAGATTTCTCGGTGATAAATGTATCCATCACTTTGGCTTACCCGAAGAAACACTATTACCATACACAATGAACAAAGATAGAAAAGAAGAGGAGATCTATTTGCAAAGTTTGTTTTAAAATTGGTTAAAGAAACATGTGGGTCCAACAGCGTACAATCTGCACCAGGACTGGGACCGGCGGCCATGGGGGTACCTGTTCTGCTACGAGACCGGCAATTTCTTCGTAAGTCTTTCCTGCTTCCGTTATTGCAGCATTGAGATCGGTTTCACCTGGAAATCAGTACAGCTACATCAGGGCTCGTGAGTATTTTCTCTTCGTTTATTTTACTTAAAAATTTTATTATGGCAAACACTACGCTTTTCAAAACTAGAGGACAGTGTAATGAGTCCCCATCTACCCATCACCTGGCTTCCCAATGAATAGCTCATGGCCAGTCTTTCTGCACCTGCACCATCCATCCCCTACCTCCCCCTTTCGCTGGCCACATTACAATGCACCCATAAATTCTATGTCAGAGATAAGCACTCTTTAAAAGGCAAGGACAATACCAACATCACACTGGAGAAATGAGAATTGCTCCTGTAGAATTATCTGGTCAGTGGGCAGCTCCCTGGATCTGGAATCGAGCTGGCTGCTTTCAGGACTCAGAGAAAGCCCACATGGCAGAGAGCTGAAGTGTTTCTTCAATCATTAGGTTCTTTCTCCTCCCTCCCTTTTTTCTCGCAAATTTCTTTTTGGGCCGTTGAAGAAACCAGGTATTTGCCTTGGTACCTGCAGCCTGGGTTTTGCTGACTGTGTCTGTGGTGATAACACAGTCCTCTGTTCCCTGTACCATCTAGATCTATCCTTTTAAAAGGAACGGTTTGCAAAGTGTTGCTCTTCTACTCCTATCACTCCTTCTTGATCTGAAGCACTTCTATAAAGAGGAACTCTCCTTTATCGACTACCTGGTTACCTTGAGGTATTGGAAGAGAAAAAGCACATTAAATGCTTCTTTCTCTTTACCATTTTCAGAATGAGTTGATCCTCTAACCATTCCCCAAAGGTAACAGATTAACTTTTTAAAAAAGTATCATTGCAAGTCTGGATTTACACATACTTGATAAGCTCCATTGCAGAGAAAGTATTATTTTCACTAATGCTCTTTGTATTTACTGGCCAGTGGAAGGCTTTTCAAATCAGCATCTGGGTTCTGCTAGGAGCTCTGGTTCATCTGGGAGGAAGAGTGTTGAGAAATCTCCCTGTGGGGGGCGCCAGAGGTGCTTCTCGTGACTGGATTGGGTATTTCTAGGCCTTTTCAATGAACACAGCAAGGAAAAATATATTTTTTTTAAAAGAGGAAAACCATAATGAGCTCATATGGAGATTTCCAATTCAAATTTAGGACTTCAGGATTTTTCATAATGTATTTAAAACTTTTGATTTTTGTTTAGCTCTTTCATTTAAAAAACTTAGTTCCTAAAAACAGTAACATAATTACGTATTTGCTTTATCCTACAATATGTAAAATAGTTCTAGAAGTTTTAGAATAACAATACCAATATTTTATTGCTAACTATATAATTACTGAAAACAAAAGATTTTTGAAGTCTTTTTGATTTTAAGGAATCTGCTACTAGGGATGTAGAATCATTGATATAATGTTTTACGGTGATGTGAAATAATTCTTCTCTACGTGGTTATGCCTTCATCCTGATGTATCAAGTGATTTATTTTGCTTTTGCTTTTTAGGGATTTTTTTTTTCTTTTACATTTTAAATTTGTTTTCTAATAATAAATGTAGAATAAATATAAATGTAAAACATTCCCATGGTTCCAAAGTAAAATCTGTAAAACTAGATAAAACCGGAGGTCTAGCTTCTACACCCGTTCCTCTTCTCCGCTCCAGATAACCATCTAAATATTTTTATCCATTATTTTTCCATGATAATCCATAAGAAGTGCTTCATGGATCTGCACAAAGGCCATGCGAATAGTCTCTGTGTTGTTCCAGTATCAGTTTCTGTACTCAGAGAGGGAGCATGGAAGGTTATATTTAACATAATCTGAAATATTCTTAGGAACCGGAATCCTCTGAATTACTGCAAGATCAAAGAGTGCAGCACTGCCCCACGTCACCAGCACGTCTGAGCAAAGGAAGGCGTGATAAGACCCAGCACTCAACTCTGCTGACCCTCATTTGCCTTGAAACGTGAAAAGCTAGTCTGTGGGCACTTGAGAAGTTCTTTGGAAACAAGATCTCTAGGAAGTTGAATGATATTCCCCGTAAAGCACATTACACTGAGTACTTTTAATACTTGACAAAGTGCCGTCTGCAGTGTGAATACTTGATAACACACGGACTGATAGCTCTGAGCAGGGAAAACAGTAAGGAAGCCACGCCAAGTGAGGCACGGCTGGGCGGGATCACATGGGTGGGCGCTGCGGAGAAGGCAGAGCATCTTCAGGGTCCTCTCCTACTCCACCTCCCCTCCAGGATGTCCTCATCCTGCCGGGGCCTCCCCCACAGCCCCCCCACAGCCCTCTCTATCCTGCCTTTTTGCCAGGTTGCTCCGGGCTGAAGTTATACAGATAGGAAACTCCGGAGAGAAGCCGATCATTTGGAAGGTACGCAGATTCTACTGAAATTTACAGAACGAGAAATATATGGAAAGACTTATGTACAGTATAAAGCTACAAAGGACGTCTTTAGGACCCATTTCCCAGATTACCAACTGTCTTCTCCTCCCCCCTTTTCAAGACTTTTGGTTCAATTATCTGTGCCCTCTATTAACATGACATTTAGTGAAGGGTGAGTGGTTTGTCTCTCCTGGCATTGACCCGGAGAACAAGGGAATTGCTGTTTACAAATTCTGTGTTCTAGCTCTGAATGGTTTTTAAGTTTTCTGACTTCAAGGAATGGAAGTCAAGTCTGGGTCCATGCTACTGGAAGGATCATTGTTAGGCTTACAATCTCACCTTGGAGCGGTTCCATTTCCAGTTAGCATGGGGACAACTGCCAAGACCCTTGCTCTCAATGTAATAATACCAAATAAACTAAACCATCATATTTCTCCGTAAAGTCACGGAAGCACTGTGGGAATGAAGAAACCCAAAGGAACTCAATTCAGAAAGGGCTGAGCCTCGCACCCTAGGCAAGCTGTCGGGTCTGGAGGCCGGGGGAGAGCGGAGGAAAAGGGCGCCTTTCACAGCAGAGGGACTTGGCTGGGACGGGAGGCTCTGCTCTGCTTTTACCAGAAGCATGGGGGCTGGTATGAGGGACCAGAACCTGGGGGAGCCCCAAATGCAGAGCCAGTTCTCCCACAGGGGTTTTGTGCACTAAGGGGTGATGGCGGGAAGCGGGGGCAGGGCTGGAGGACAGAGAGCTCTTGGGGGGAGGCTTAAGGAAGGCGAGATTCAGGTGAGTTCTGACATGGGACACTGATCGGGGTCCAGCATCTTCAGAACACAAGCTCTCCACCCGTCAAGATACTAGAGAAGCACAAAGATGAGAGTGCTCTTGGAGTCCTGCCGGCACCTAAGCAATGGGGGTGGCCCTACACTTGGCTCCTCCGTCAACCCCCTGTGGCACCCTGGCCAGGAGGCTGATCGTTCCAGGCCTATGTTCCGCATCTCGAACATGAGGGGGCCAGATGAACTAATCATCAGGGCTCCCATCCAATCTAAAAGTTGGGATTGTAAGACACAATTCAGCCAGGACAGAAAGAAATATTCATATGTGGGAGCCCCAAATCTTCCATTCTGGTGGGAGACTCATTTCTTGTTCCTAAAAACGCTCAGACACTGACCTCCACAGACTGTCTTCCCTATCAGAATAAACACCATGGCCAAAGTACCAATTCTGCCATTTCTGTAAGTGACTGGACACATGTAAATTTAGTAAGTGCCACTCACCTGACAAATACTTTTACTTGCTACCTGCTCCACTGAGCAAACTAAGCAAAAGTAAACCAAAATAGAAAGGAGAACAGCTAGCTTGTTCTCACAAGTGCTGTCAATGTAAAAGTACAATGAATCCGAGACACCACAGGTAAGATGCACAGTATGGTACGTAAGACGCCCCATATACAGCTGAGAATAATTCTAGGTCACACAGAGACCTAAGGCAACGAGAATTTGTTACTTAGTCAAAATGTTCCCTCCAAACGGCCTTGACAAATTCCGGCCTTTGTAACAGGAGGACCTGACTTCTGAGGTTGGAAGAGACATGAAAGCAAGGGCAGAGGGTGACTTATCATAGCTGCCTGTTCCAGGGCAACACAAGAGCGGTCTCTGAGCGCAAAGAAAGGCTAAGAAGCTAGCAAGAAACACAGAGTACAACCACGCCCCACTTTTCTCAAAAGTAGTTAAGGTGAGGGTACAGAAGTACTGAGTGGGGCAGCCTAGCCGGCTGAAGTGTCGGTGACAAAGGTCCCTAGCTGCAGAGTTTCTGTGTGCTTGCAAGAGCCCGAGGGGGTGGCTGGTCCGCACAAGACACTAAGGGCCCGAAGGATAAATAAATACAGCCGTACCTTGATAACCACTGGAACTAAACACTGTTGCTAAACTCTGCAAGGCCTTTCCTATCTTCTGATATTCCTTGGGTAACGCTGAAAGAGAAAGAAGAAGACATTGTTAACTAGTCCTCTGAGCAAACAGGAATGGGATTTGACTATTTCCTGAAAGTGATTACTTTTGTCATAAAAGAAATTGGAAGTGACTCAAAAGAGTCTATATTCTTTAATAAAATCACTGGCTTTTTTAAATTCATGAATTTTTTCAAAGAAATTTATTAACTGATTGTTCAGTTCGTGGCCGGATGCTCTCATTCCGAACTACCACCCTGGCCCCACATCCTCACTCACGGCATTAAGTTGAAGCGCCTGGGAGCTCATCTGGAAGAGGGTTTCTAGTTGACCAAGCACTTGCACCGAGTCCTAGGTGATCACCAGGACAACCCCTCTACCGTGTGCAGACACACCATCTCCGTTCCGCGGGTTAGGAAAATAAGGCTCAGCTAAGTAAACTGACTTGCCCAGGGTCGCATGGCTAATAAATGGTGGATGTGGGTACTTGTGATTCCAAACGCCTTGCTTTCCCCACTGTTAGGTATGCATCAATGATTATTTGCAAAACTGAAGGCAACAAGGTGTGGAGAAAAATATGGCAGAAGGACTCAACAGGACCAGGGAGGAGGGATCTGAGCTTTCTCAACTGTATAACATGATTAACGAAATGATCTCTGCGGGCCCTTCTAGCTTTCAAAGAACATACAGATTTCAATGCTTTACTATTATTATGGTCTCATAAGAGCTTAATTATTAAGCTCTTAATTATCAATTAAAATTAATTATTTTACAATGAAATCACTAACAGAAGCGTCGCTCCCCTTTTTATTCATGAGTTGACTCCCTGTGACCAAAGGAGGGCGGTGCATTTTGTTTTCTAATGCTGCATTTGTGTACTTCCCCATTTCAGGCCTAATTAGTGCTATATTTAGGATATGGCATCGTATTTCCGTGCCATGAGAATGGAGCAACTGTTCTCGAGCACGAACGGATGGCCCGCCGCTGCGAGTGGTTTTGTTGATGTCGAGTATTATGTGAATGGTAGAGGATCATTCAGTGAGAAGCAGGACCTTTTTTTTCCGCAAAGGGCCAGACAGTAAATATTTCAGGCTTTGTGGGGCCACAGGTTTCTTGAAAGTTGAAAGTACTTGACTCTGCCACTGTAACAGCAAAGCAGCCACAGGTAATCCGTACAGAAGTGGGCCTGGCTGTGTTCCACTTTATAAAAACAGACAGCAGGCCAGATCTGGCCTCCAGGCCACAGTCTGCCAACTCCTGATAAGGCTTAGATTTCAGGTCTGGATTTAATGGATCTTAATATTGCTATTAACTGTGCTCTTTTTTTCTTTTTTTTAAGATTTTATTTATTTATTTGACAGAGAGAGACACAGTGAGAGGGAACACAAGTAGGGGGAGTGAGAGAGGGAGAAGCAGGCTTCCCACCGAGCAGGGAGCCCGATGCGGGGCTCGATCCCAGGACCTTGGGATCATGACCTGAGCTGAAGGCAGACGCCCAACTGACTGAGCCACCCAGGCGCCCCCACATTCAGTTTCTTACTCGTTAAAATTATTTTTTGACTTCAAATTTTATTTTTTCCCTTCTTTAGAAGAAAAATATCATTTGTTAATAAATCTTTACAAAACAGATAATTAAATTCCTTCCTATGCTGAGTATCACAGTTTAAAAGTGGGTATGTATTAGCTTTATTATTCAAAGTAGAAGCCATTTTTAAGAGAAAAACAAAATAAAACTGAATACAACCAGTATTCTTGTAGGGTGTACGAGTTGAAGGCCAGAAAATTCTTAGATACCAGCCTTATGGCTAGCCTACTAGCCTTCATACGAGGTTAGGTTACTGAGTCAGGGACTCGCAGCACCACTTTCTGGGTAACTAGAGCTCAGTTTTCTCTCTGGGACTCAGGCGGCTGAGCTGGTGATAAGGACAGGACAGGTGGACAGGGGAGGAAACTCCTGAGCGTGTCTGGCCCTCGAAGACCATGTGAACGGAACCGCAGTGGTGACCTGTCCTCTGAGGCCCACCTCCGAGGTGGGAGGGCAGCTGGCTGGTGTGACCCCCATGGCTGGCAGTGACAGTTTCCTTGCCTGGACTACGTGACGTGAGGGGCCAGGGAATACAGGACAACATAGGTCAGCAGAATGACAGTCTAGACACAAAGGGAAGGGGGGGTTGGGGTGGGGGTGGGGATAAGAAGTCCTCGAGGACATGGAAAGAGCAGGTAGAAGCCATGGCTGGCAGGGCCCCCCGGGCTCACGTTGCCCCTAGTCTGACCCAGCTCACGCTTTCCACAGCCAACTATCCTGGCCTTTCCTAAAAGTTAGGGCTGTAGTGGGCGCCTGGGTGGCTCAGTCGGTTAAGTGTCTGCCTTTGGCTCAGGTCATGATCCCAGGGTACCAGGATCGAGCCCCGCATTGGGCTCCCTGCTCAGCGGGGAGGCTGCATCTCCCTCTGCCTGCCTCTCTCCCTGCTTGTGATCTCTGTCCAATAAATAAATAAAATCTTAAAAAAAAAAAAATTAGGGCTGTAGCAAATACAGATGGTCCCTGACTTAACAATCTGACTTCATGATGGTGCCAGAGCAATATGCATTCACTAGGAACCATACTTGGAATTTTGAATTTGGTTCCTGTCCCGAGCTTATGATCTGTGGGAGGACCCTGTCCGTGATGCTGGGCAGCGGCAGCCTCGCCAGCCGGCGACCACAGGGATCAGCGACCAGCACACTGACAACCACTCTGCACCCGGACAGCCATTCTGTTCTTCACTTTCAGTTACGGCACAAGATGTTCAACACTTTACTATAAAACAGGCCCTGTGTGAGATGATTTTGCCCAAGGGCAGGCTGGCCAGGCTAAGCTGTGGTGTTTGGGAGGTTAGGTGTATTGAACGCATTTTCGACTTAAGCCCATCCTAAGTGGAAAATAGCCTATCGGGATGCAACCCCATCGTAAGTTGAGGAAGATTCTGTATACAACATCTTACTTACCAAATGGATAAAGCCTAAAAAGTACAATCATGAGATTAAAAATAACAAATACTCTCTACACATGCAGAAAAGATTAATGGTCCGTAGATTACAAACCCCAAATAACTAGAAACACTTAAGGGAACACGGTGTTTTATGCAAGTTCTTGAACTGGCTTTGCTGGAGTCAATTCTCTGCTGTCTGAGTAGGGCTGACAAGTGAGGTTGCCACCGGGCTGTGGGTATGACATTCCTTCAGTTCACTAAGGCACCTGCGTCCGAGCGCACGGCTCCTCAGTGCGGTGAAGGCCACAGACCGAGCGTGCCCCGCCACGACCAGGGCCCAGAGCTGGCGTGAGGACGGCACTTACGTCCCGTGCACCGTTTCCAGTGCTCCTGTCCTACTGTCAGCAGCTCCTTCACGCCGTCGTCCATGGCTCTGGTGAATTTACCGACGGCGTCGCACTTCTGTTCTCTGTGGGGCAAAACACAAGAAGGCATGTCCTTGACTCTTCTACCAAACGGTCAGTGTGACGAGGAGGAGGAGAAAAATCAACACGGTCGGGGGAGACTCCCACCGAACGTAACCGCGGGTACTTGTTTTCTTGCACTGTAACAACTGCTCTTTAACCAGGCTTGATTCGGATTTTTAGAGAAGGGGCGCCTGGGTGGCTCAGTCGGTAAAGCAGCTGCCTTCAGCTCAGGTCATGATTCCGGGGTCCTGGGATCGAGCCCCCCGTCAGGCTCCTTGCTCAGCGGGGAGCCTGCTTCTCCCTCTCCCTCTGCCTGCTGCTCATGTTCACTCTCTCTCTCTCTCTCTCACATAAATAAAATCTTTAAAAAAAACAACAGATTTTTAAAGAATGACTTAAAAATCTGCCATTTAAATTTTAACTCCTTCCCTTCCCCTCTCAATTCCCTGTGACTTTTAACTAAAATTATTCTAAAGTATATAAAATCATGATTTCTTGAACATATGATTGAGTGGAATTCTATCAGTGGAGGTACTGAGTGGGTCTTCATGCATTCCAGCAAGTACTTTAGCGAACCGAAGGTAACCTGGACACAACCAGGTAAGTGATACTGAACATCTCAGTTCTTTGAGGATGTAAAAAGTACCAACCTGAAAAACTCATCCTAGTATCATGTTAAATAAACAAAAACAAAAACAGATTAGAAGACAGAATGCACAGTGTGAGGTCTTTCCGTTTTAAACAATTTTTCCCTGAGATACATATGTGCAGAGGACGTTTCAGAAGACTACAGACCTAGGCCAACGCATTAACATTGATTTTTCTCTCTGGGTAGTTGCAAGATTGTGTTTTTCTTTTTTCTTCTTTTTTTTTTTTTTTTAAAGATTTTATTTATTTATCCATGAGAGACAGAGAGAGAGAGAGAGAGAGGCAGAGGGAGAAGCAGGCTCCCAAGGAGCAGAGAGCCCGATGCGG